ACTGTAGGCAACACTCACCCACTAATCACTTAGTAGCCATCTCAGTTATCAGAGCGTATCGCAGTGTTTGTATGTAAGCAACCCTTATTTTACTTAATAATGAGCCTAAAATGCAAGAGTAGTGGTGCTGCCAATTTGGCTTTGCCAAAGAGAAGCCATAAAGTGCTTCCTTTAAATGAAAAGGTGGAAGTTCTCAATAAGTAAAAAAAAAAACTTATGCTGAGGTTGCTAAGAATTAAGGTAAGAATAAATCTCCCCTATTCATGAAATTGTGAAAAAAAAGAGAAAAAAACTCATGCCAGTTTTGCTGTTGCACCTCAAACTGCAAAAGTTATGGCCACAGTGCATCATAAGTGCTTAATTAAGATGGAAAAGGCATTACATTTGTGGATGGGAGACATGAACAGAAACATGTTCTGATTGTCAGCATTCGGGTTCAGTATTTTCTGCAGTTTCAGGCATCCACTGAGGGCCTTGGAATTTCCCTGAAGATAAGGGTAGACTACTGTATGAGGTATCTATAGTAGTCAAATTCACAGAAACAGAAAGCAGAAGGGTGGTTGTTGCTAGCAGCTGGGAGGAGGGGGAAATGGGGAATTGTTAAATGGGTATAGAGTTTCAGTTTTCCAAGATGAAGAGCTTTGGAGATTGGCTGCAGGGCGATATGAATGTACTTAACACTACTGAACCATACACTTAAAAACAGTTAAGATCGCCGAGTGCGGTGGCTCACCCCTGTAATCCCAGCACTTTGGGAGGCTGAGGTGGGCGGATTACGAGATCACGAGATCAAGACCATCCTGGCTAACACGGTGAAACCCTGTCTCTACTAAAAAAAAAATACAAAACATTAGCCGGGCGTGGTGGCAGGCGCCTGTAGTCCCAGCTACTTGGGAGGCTGAGGCAGGAGAATGTCGTGAACCCAGGAGGCAGAGCTTGCAGTGAGCTGAGATCGCTCTACTGCACTCCAGCCTGGGTGACAGAGCAAGACTCCGTCTCAAAAAAAAAAAACAGTTAAGATCACCAGCTACAGTGGCTCACACCTTTAATCCCAGCAGTTTGGGAGGCCAAGGTGGGCTGATCACAAGGTCAGGAGATTGAGACCATCCTGGCCAACATGGTGAAACTAAAATACTAAAAATAAATACATATAAAAATAAATACATATAAAAAATAAAATACTAAAATACATCTCTACTAAAAATACAAAAATTAGCTGGGTGTGGTGGCGCGTGCCTGTAGTCCTAGCTACTTGGGAGGCTGAGGCAGGAGAATCCCTTGAACCAAGGATTTGGAAGTTGCAGTGAGCCGAGATCGTGCCATTGCACTCCAACCTGGTTGACAAGAGCCAAACTCCGTCTCCACAAAAAGAAAATAAACATTTTTTTTAATTTGCAAAAAACACATGGATTCATAAAGGAAAACAATCATATTCACATATAATTATCAAAATATTAAAATGTTTATGGTGTAGTAACTGATCTTTAGCAATGCATTAAAGATCTAACAGTAAGTCTAATAGCAATTATAATTACAAAGTGTGCTGAATGCAAACAATATTTAGATGTATCTTCAACACTTGTAATGTAAAATGAAAATATCTGTTATTTCTATTAGTAAGAACATTGCAGTTACTGCCAGTACCAGTGATCTGTTGCCTACATTCATAATTAAAGGAGATGCTAAATTTCTGTTAAAGGTTAGTGAAAATACAGATGTAATTTTGGCTGGGCATGCTGACTCATGCATGTAATCTCAGCACTTTGGGAGGCTGAGGTGGGAGGATCCCTTGAGGCCAGGAGTTTGAGACCAGCCTGGGCAACATGGCAAGATCCTGTCTCTACAAAAAATTTAAAAAATTTGCTAGGTATGGTGGCACACTCCGGTAGTTACAGCTGTGAAGGAGGCTGAGGCGGGTGGACTGCTTGAGCCCAGGAGTTCAAGGATGCAGTGAACTATGATTGTGTCACTGCACTCCAGCCTGGGCAACAGAGGGACACCTGCCTCAAAAATAAATAAATAAGTAATTTTTTTCCCTTCCAAGTTCACAAATTCCCTGAATTCTATGATCTGTAGGCCCAGGTTTAGAAGCTCTGCTTCTCTAAGCCTCAGATTTATCATCAGTCCTTAGTGTTTGACACATTCCTAACTTATTCACTCACACTTACAGGCAACTGTTTCACACTATGTTCACACCTCAACCCCAATCACTCCTCCCTCATCCTCTCTCTCAGTTGCTTCCTACTTCACTGAGAAAAATGGAAGCAATCAGAAAAAAATTTTCAGACTCCCACCACATCTGCCTAACCTCTACACTTGCACCCACCTTCTCTGCTTGTGGCCCGTTACCATAAACAAACTGCCCACACTCCTACCTAAAGCCAATCCTGAATAGATCTCATGACCTCAAACCTATTCAAGGGCACTACTGCAGTAAATCTCCTACGCCATCAAAATTTTGGAGATGTTCTAAAAATTATTTCCGTCAACATAGAACATGCTATTTCTTCCATCTTAAAACTTTTTCTTGAATCTATTTCCCCTACCATGACTTCTATCTCTCTGTCCCCATATTGAGCAAAACTCAGGTTTCTTTTTTTTTTTTAGATAGAGTATCTCTCCAGCCTAAGCTGGAGTGGAGTGGCGTGATCTCGGCTCACTGCAACATTCGCCTCTGGGGCTCAAGCGATTCTCCTGCCTCAGCCTCCCAAGTATCTGGGACTACAGGTGTGCACCACCACACCTGGTTAATTTTTTTTGCAGTTTTAGTGGAGATGGGGTTTCACCAAGTTGCCCTGGGTGGTCTCGAACTCCTAAGCTCAGGTGATCCACCTGTCTCCGCCTCCCAAAGTGCTGGGATTACAGGCATGAGCCACCGCGCCCAGCCTCTTTTTTTTTT